ATTGGACTTAAATGAAGCATATTGATTCTAAGAGATATGCAAGCATACATAGATATACAAGAACGAGCCATGCCTCCACTAATATATGTTACATAATTATATACATTAATTCGTATCCATACATACCTACTTGTGAATAAAAACTCAAAAATGTATATGGATTAAGAATACGTAATAAGACATTCTAAAATGCTTGTGTGTATGTGTATGCATAATGCATTTGCTTCCAAATGGGCTAAAACATGACTTTTTAACAAACCTTTCATGGAAATCCGTCAAAAACAGGTTTAGGAACTTACGGATTTTTGATACTTTTGAAAGGTAATTCCATCTAAATTAAATTAAGAAATTCCAACAGACTTTTGATAAACATTTATAACTTTTTTTTATTTTTAATAAAACAATTTACCTTTTCGTCGAAATTCCGATTAATATAAAACTATTATTATTTTTTTATTTAAATTAAATTCAATTATATTTAATATGGAAATGAATTTAAGTTCTTAATGTCGATGGTTTTCCGATGGTTTAAATCGGGTGTTTTAAACACTTAAAAAGGATTATGGTTAAAAACTCCAACCAAACCCAAGCCCAATCAAATCTAATGATAATTTACATCGTTCAATTAGTGCACCTTTTTATTGTAGGTAAGTGGTCGGAAACAAGGCAGGATCTTTAGTATCATAACTTCATTGGATATCACATGTAAAATCCGTCTGAAAGTGCATGAATATTGCAATATTCACGCAATATAACGTAATATTCATGACGCACGCTTAAAGGCGATGATGTGCAAGGTATAATATTCTTCGCACAATATAACATAACATTTGCATAATATAATGGTACATTTATTTGATCTCATGTTCTCACGAAACGGAGATGTTATCGAGTCCGTCTAATATTGTTTATGTTTGTTTATTAATAGCATATGTTATCCTATCTTGACTTCATTATTATCAACAACTCATGTTTCATGACTCAGAAAACTTGTTTTTATAATCGAAACAAATATGGTCGTTAAGATAGAACAATAATGGCCTATCTCCATAAAAAAAAAGGTTTGTAAGGTTAGTGTCTAAAAGGCAAATTAGATACATTAAAATTAGATTTATTTTCAAATTTCATGGATTTTCTATCAACGATTGCCTTTAAAATACCCGTTTGACGTTGTCGGTTATAGAGTCGGTGAGTTCATACAATTTAACTTTGGCTTGCCTCGTTAAGGTTCTGATAATCGTAAAATCAAAATTGAACGCTAAAAATGAAGTAAACCCTTTAAGAAAAAATACGACTAATTAATATTGCATCCAACACGTAGTAACAAGAGTGAGACTGTATTCAAATATTATCATGGAGTTCCGATACCTACAATTAAATTCATTTATCTTACTAAGTAAATAATCTTGTTCGTTATGTTTCTGTCTCCTTACACTCCGTTCATCAAAGAAAAGACAGAAGTCTTTAACAGTTTATAGGATATATTAATTTGGTAAACGTACCGGTCGATACTGAAAAACTCGCTTTTGGTTAATAAGATTAGCGTTAGCTATTTAAATAATCATGTTTGATAAGAAAAAGTAGGTAATAAGTTAGAAGACAAAGTTAACTATTAATTACTAATTTACAATTTAGCAAATGCTTAGTTTAACTTACAGTTGCCAGACATGGCTCAAGTCTAGTGAGCGCTATTAGTGTGTTAACTTGTTTATCTTTTATGAGATTTGAACCTTTGACCTTTTCGGAGGTTGGGATCTATTTGTAACCGAGATACCACTAGTTGGGCCAATGACCCTTCTTACCGAGTTGCAGGGGCAGCCCTCTTTTGCCCCCTTTACACATAATAAATTAATAACACTCATGTACGACAAATACTTTAACGCACTACTTATCTTTTATGAGATTTGAATTTTTGACGTTTTCGGAGGCTGAGCTCTTCCTGTACCCCTAGATAGATACCACCACCACTAGATGAATGACCCTTTTGGTTAAGCTAGGCAAGATTGCTTAGTTGCAGGGGCCAGCCCTTTTTTGCTCCCTTTACACATAAATCACACTAATGTACGTACCATGACAGTTGATTAGGGCTTTACCTTTGATGTACAACACTTCTTTTCATTGTACGAGGATTCTTGCTCTCTCCCATACGTTTTGTGGGTCTTGCTTATACTTTCACCAAACAAATAAACTGGGTGTAGAAAAAGAATAGTTCACCAGCAGATCTACGGTAACAATTGCAGAAAACCTACTTTCTGAACATGACAGGAAACTCAAGGCCATGAATTCCATAGTGGGTGTTGTTTTGAGAAGACAATGTTAAACAAAGAAAACGTTTATTGTGTTTACATAAACCCTAAAGGCATTGCTTTGCAATGATGCATAAAATCTTCAAGTGGTTAATTAATTATCATTGACCATGTTAGAATAAACAAACGAGGTATAAATATATATGTTACGAGAAATACTTCCGTATAACGAGATTCAAATTAACAATCACTCGATTCAAAGTTTATTTTAGATACTATAGTTGCGGTAAATGCAATTTTCGTTGTCTCAAAAAACTCTAGTTTTAAGTTTCTTTCGGAATGCATATGATCTTTTGTCAATCTAAAAGCATGTTAGACTTTTACGTATCCGTGTAGTGTCAATCTAGAGTCGTTCCCGTGCTAAGATTTGATGTTATAGTCGTTTAAATGCCGAACTATTATATTACTATCTTTGTTTTTTTTGGTGTCTGTTTATTTGTAAAAAGTAGATTGATATAGGAGGCAAGTGTATCTATGGGAGTTATCCATTACAAATTGCACACTAATTCACATATGAATTTTCTAATCTTTCTACTTGAATGGATAGAATGATCACAAATGAAAGTGAAGTCATTTCCAAATTAAAAATGGGTTCAAGATTAAATATATATACCCAAAAACAAGTAGGTAGCTTTACACTAACCACTCCTTTAGCTTAATAAATTATGGCACTTTGAATAGTTTATATGAACAATCAGTACTTTCCCTTTTGCTTCAGCTTTAAAGCTATCCATTCCTTCATCTAAGTTTATTCCTACAAACCCCAAAAGCAAAGTTATGTTCATCATTGTAGGACTTGTTATAAAAACAGCTGCATATTTTATTGAGTCTTTTGATACCATAAGCTCCAAGCTAACCACACATAAGCAATGATCATGGCCGGCATATTCGCAAGTTAAAAATGTGGTTCACGGAATCTAAAGTAATGCAGATGTACGCTATCCTTGTTCGGTTACTATACCTTTGGTAGCTGTGGGGATGCATTATGAACTAATGAAACAAATTAAAGCATTTAATCAGATCATGACTAAGCCATAATACTAAATACAGTGGAGAATGAAATGTTAAACGCAATTTGTTTATGAAAGAAACGAAAACAAGAGAGGCGGATGAATCCACCAAGGATAACTCACGAAATTGAATTGTTTTCGTACGCATATTGGAGAGATATAAGAGATGTATGAGAACGGGTTTCCGGTTTCTTCCTTGAATTTCCCATATTACGTATAATTTAAAACGTGATTAAGGATTAGATAACAAATACGGATGTATAACTAGAACCTTGTGTAAAGCAGTCAAGAACTCCATCTATCAAGCACAGAATTAAGTACACTAACAAGATATCGTAAGTGAACCAAAAACATCCATGTTAACAGCATATTTGAGATATATAAAACCCATTTGAAGATGATCAACAAGAGATGGATAGTTTATAAGAAGGTTCAAAGACTATTGAAATTTTAATAGAAAGAGGGAAAGTATGTCTTGTGAAATTGGTGCCATCTAAACCCTAGCAGTGTGTCGAATGAAAATGTTCTACTTAAACCTCATCAAGCTGTCAAGAAATGAACTTATGCAGCATATATAAACTTTTTTTTTCCTTGGTATCAAGGATAGAAAATAAAATTTCATAGCAAAATTGACCTTAAACATTAAAAACTATGAAATACTTGTTACTTGTGTGCAGTGTTAGTGTTTAATGCTCTTAATATAAAGTGAATGCCAATAAGAACAAAATATCAAGAGAGATCCAAGTGCTGGGAAGGAGCTAGCTGGTTCTAATCCATTTATCCCTGGTGAATAATTGGAGGTCCATCAATGGTGGCTGGTGGAATTTTAATTTGTTGGGTACTGTGGTTTCTCAGTCTTTGAGAAAAAATGACATTGGTTATGTTAAATACACCTTAAGCTTTATATATGAAGTCACTGATGCTATGCTCATTTTAAATTCAAGTAATGAGAGAGAGAGAGAGAGAGTAAGACCAGGAACAGTTAGACAAGATGACATGGGTTTCAACAAAAAGATGGCCATGTTCAAAATACACTTTATTGATGAACATGCTGATGTTGTAGATAGTAAAACAGCCATAAATGGTGCATAAAAGGTTGAGCAAATTTAGTAAATTATGTAAGACATGACTCCCAAGCGATATTCAGTAATTATCCTAACTTGAATTTGTCCTATAAAGGGAAAAAACCAGAAAACATTTGCATAAAAGTTTGCCAAGCAACAAACAGCTTTGATAGAAGGGAGGGAGGGAGGGAGGGAGGAATCATTTGTTTTTATATAGAAAGAGATTGGTCTCATTTAAATTGGGAACTGTTGAACAAGATTGCCATTTATGAACAGTAATCAACAAACAGGAAGAATCTCCACAGTAAAACCACCGCTCCATTCTTTAATTAATTTGAACCTGCATAGTATCCGGAGATTTCTGGTACTATATTTATTGTTTTTACTGAAAACAATGCAAAAACAAACAAACAGAACCCATTACCCCAAAACCTTCATTTGATTTCATCATGTTTGATCCTCAGGAAACACCTACTCTAAGTGTCATAAATATCAACTACGACACTTTCTGAAATCTCCCATATTTATGATATCTTTACATACATGGATTTAGTATATATATATATATATAAAAAGAGAGAGAGAGAGAGAGAGAGAGAGAGAGAGAGATTGATTGATTGTTGAGGATGAACACAGCGAAACTATTTTCATGAAAACAAGGAAACAAAAAAGACACCCAAATTAAGAAAAATTAAAAAGAGAAAATGGAAACCCTCGAACATTACAAGAGAACACGGGAGAATATTAACTTGTTGCACAGATTCTTACTGACCTTTGTTTATGATCCAAATGAAGCTACATCTAACCAGATCTAAATAAACAAACGGGTACTCAATGATCCGATCCAAATCAGAATGGATTATTGTTGTTGGAGCGTCCGGCTGAATTGCTTCCTGCAGCCCATCCATCCACCGGTAACTGAACATTTGGAGGCATGCTCATCGGTAGGTTGAAGAATGGTAGCCCAGAAGATGGGTCTGGATAGGGATTGTTATTGTTAATCCCGCCACCGTCTGTCTGAGAAGTTGGTGGTTGAATCTGAAGCCCATCAACCGGCGTTTCCTCTTCCTCTAGAGGTAATCTCTCATAGGCGACATTTGTAAAGGAAGAAGCAATAACGATGACTGGCCCTGCGGCGGTCAACTCTCCCACCACGTTCCCACCAACCACTTGTCCCTGACCGCCGGCCAAGAATATCGTCAAGCTGGTGGCTCCTGGTGGTGCTGGTGGAGGCAAGAAAGAACCGGAGAGCGACAAGATCTCAAACCGACCTTGGAGGGCTATTACTGACCCAGCTGCAGACGGCTGCCGGAGACTAACATTAGTCACGGTGCCGCTTCCAGACAATATGCAGATCCCACGTTGCCTCCGTCGTGCATAAGTTGCTACCGACTCAAAAATATCATATCCGTTACCGATTTCCAATATGTGAGCTCTGAGTGTGTTGGCACTCTCTCTTGTGATAATGACAGGTGGCTTCGGCTTATTCTTTGATCCTGGCGGACGGCCTCTCGGGCGTCGCCCAACTATGTCGCCTGGTCCACCACCACCACCACCGCCGGAGTTAGGAGAGATCAAGTCAACACCCTTGTCATCATCATCCTCCTGATGATGCTGGTGGTGTTGAAAGGTGTCAGAGAAAAGCTGATGGTGGTGTTGGTTGTTTTCAGGTTGACTGCTTGGGAGTTGCAAGTCAGAACGGTGGAGCTGATGATGAATATAACGAGAAGCAGTGCCTAAATCTAAACCCGCCATGGATTATACAATTATCAAAAGAAAACACACCCACAAGCAACAGAAAACAAGAAAACTATAAAAAATTGAAGCAGGAAATTATATAAAAACTTGAATTTTTTTGTGGGTTTTTTATTAATATGATTATCAAAAGGGAAATTATAGAAAAACAAAGATCTGGATGTTGAACCCTAGAGATTAGAAAACAAAGGTATATGAGTGCAGAGAGAGAGAGAGAGAGAGGGGGAAGGGGGGATGGAGAGAGAGAGAGAAGAAGATGGGAGGGAGGGAGGGAGGGAGGGAGGGTGAGGGGGACAAACGCAGTCATTTCTCACAAGCTAAAAGTTTAAATATACGAATAAAAAAATAGAAACTTGAAATTAAATATTTTGGTTTTATATCAATAATTTTGCTCTGATGGTATACTGTAGATCTACTGTTTTTTTTATTTAAATTAATTTAACAATGATGATAATAATTCGTAATTTTAACCGGGTGAAAGGTGGTGTCTGATAGATTTGAGCTTGACTATAAAAGTCAAAAGTACCAAGAGGTCTCAGGTTTATATCCAAGAAAGAATAAAAATCCTCTTGTGGCCACGGAGGTCCAAATGCAGTGACTCCGGGCTATCCGCAAAACAGGTTGTTGTCCTAGAATTAGTTGGCTCGCATAACGGATTGGATATTCAGGTTAATAAAAAAAATTGTAATTTTTTTAAATCATACAATAATTGGTGTCATTTTTTTGTTACAAATTAATTTCTATTTTATAACATTCTGAATTTCAAAGTATTAGGGGTCGTTTACCTAAACACAACCCGATAAGCGTTTAACGATAGAATTCAATTCTATCGTTTACTTACTGGATAAGATTTTAGTTTATCAAAACGACATCGTATGTAACAATTTACGCGGTAAACACTAACCGTGGTAAGATTTGTCATCATCACTTACCGGGTAAGATTCTCGATCCTTGTCTTCGCTCTTAACAGGTATGGTTATTTGTTATTGTCATATTTATCCGGTAAAGAAATGTGACTTGATAAGCACTTACTCGAGTAAGCATTTGGTAAACGGCCCCTTAATCTAGTTAAATAACTTCTAATTAAACCTAAAATATATCGACCATCTTTTAACAGCTTCTCTAAAATAAAGAAAATTAATTTTTTTATTTTTATATAAAAGTATTTGTAACGGTTTTCTTTAAAATAGAAAAGATATCAAGTTTGTATTATCTATAATGTTCTAAATAAATATAACATGAAAAAACTTCAAATTTAAAGAATTCTCTGAACGTGACGTTGAGAGAGAAATTATTATTTTATTCAATTTCACCGATGAGATTGAATTGTTATTATTTTATATAAAGTTTATTTTTTAAAAGTATGTTGAAATGATAAATTAGAGAATATTATAATAATATAATTTATGTTGAATCTTTACAGTAAAGAATCTTTTGAAGTTGAACGTAACTCTTTTTAGAGATTTTAACTTTTAATTTTTTATTTTAGAGAAATTATAGAGAACCTATTGGAGATTCTCTTATGCTCCAATGGCTTTTCATATCTTATTTTATAAAATAGAGAATAATAGAGAAAACTCTCTTCTAAATGAAAGAGAAATGGGCTTTTTGTTCATTCCACCCGTGAGGGTTGAATTAATATCATTTCATATAAGTTATTTTTTCAAGTGTATTTGGATCACAAAATTATATTATATTTAAATAACATAATTAATAAAAAATATATCTGGAATAAAAAAAGTAGGAGAGAGAGTATTTTGGGCATATTTTTTCTCCCATAAATTCTTTAAAACATTTCTCTCGAATGAAGAAAGTAGGAGCGAGAGTATAAAATATTTCAAATTTGGAGTTACATCTCTAATAAATTTTCTAAAATTTTTCTTCAAAATGGAGAATGAAACTTTAAAATCTATAAAATAAAATACATTTAACTTTAACAAATTCTCTATTTTGAAAATTACAACATTGATTATATTATTAAAATATTCGTTTAATCTAATAAAATAATATTTTTCTTTCTAAATATTTATTTTCAAAGGTTCTATTGGTAGAAATATATTAAATAATATTTCTTTATCATTGTAATCATTTTGGGGGTATCCTCCAAATTTGCAGATTTTTATACTCTCACTCCTACATTTTTCATTTTGGAGAAAGGTTTTGGAGAATCTATTAAAACAAAAAACATGCCTAAAATATTTATTTTCTCCATTTTGATATATCTGTTGGAGATGCTCTTAGAGAACATCCCAAAAACGATTACAGTGATAGGGGAATATTTTTTTAATATATTCTCACCAATAGAAAACTTCATAATATTAAATACTTAGAATGAGAAATAATATTTTGTTGATATAATCAATATTATAATCTTTAAAATGAAATATATGTTGGAGTTTATTGCATTTTTATTCATGAGATTTTGAAGTTTCATTCTCTATTTTGGAGAAATTTTGGAGAATGTTTCAATTAATGTATTATTGAATAATGTTAGCTTTAATATATACTAGAATGATACTCACGTAATACAGCGAGATACATCTTGATTTTAATGTTTCGTTTTATATTTTGGCTCTATCGATGTTATAATGCGATTTTATGTGGTTTTGAGAAAAAATAAAATATTTTTTATTTTTGAATGAAACATCATGAATTTTTTTTAAAAATAAGAGAAATTAATATTAAATCATCTATTTTAAAGTTCTCATTTTTTTATGTAGTTTCTTTAATTTTTTTTAATTATAATTTAATTTAAGTTTAATAACGAAATAATTTATTTGTGGTTTATTAATATAACATTTTATAAAGATAATAATTAAGTATTCTGTTAGAACTCAATGATTATCCTAATTATATTTTAGATTTTTTTGTATAAAATGATATGTTTATCCTGTATTTGATTATGTTTATTTGCATTTAGTTACACGAATTCATATATGGAGCTTTAATAAATTGTACTTACGCACAATCTACTTACAATCTTGAGTTTTAAGTAATATGCATTAATAAACAGTACTCTACGCATAAAAAGTGGTTTTTAAGAGTTTTTGTCAAATGCTTTATAATATAGTATGTATATATATATGTATATATATATATATATATGTATATATATATATATGTATGTATGAATGGATGGATGGAATGGTTCAAACGAGAACTGATGTGATTTATGAGAACGTAAGAATAGTCTCTAAGTCAAGCATTCTGTTTTAAATCAAAGTGTAAGAGAGGTAAAAGAATTTTTCAAATTTAAATTAGGATTGTAAAGTTTTCAAAAATATTAAAGATGTGGAAGGGTAAATTGGAAATTGAAATGGTAAAATTCAAATAATACGATCAAGAGTACTTCGATCATCAGGGAAGGGATAATCATCATCACATGATTATCACACTTCAATTAGGGGTCTATGATATTTTTTTTTATTAACCTGTCATCGATTAGGTCTCGATGATTGATGGTGAATCATATTGTTATCACAATCCACTGTTTGGTTACGGGATCTCAAGCATAACGGAAAATAAAACTGTAATCCTCCAAAGACCCATATGAACCAGAATAAATAGGGTGTTCACAGTTAGAGAAACTTTGAATCACAGAAACAAAGACTTGATGCCTCCACAATATATACGCGAATAATCTGAATTTTTTGCCTTGTCGTGATGCTAGTCACGGTTCAGAACTTAGAAAGAAAAATGAGCATTTTAGAGAGAATTGTTAGAACAAGAATTGCATAAAATGTCATACATTTTATAGTTATGAGAGGTATGGCCTAAAACCACCACCATCCATACACCTTACTTGAGTGTGAGACTTGCCAAATACCATCCCTCTTCTTTTAAGACCATCCATTGTCAACCTATATTATGTCCAACAAAAAATAATATCTAATTTTGATTTAATTAGATTAAATCAATAAGAAGTGAGATATAGTAATTACATATTTTAATTATTGAAACTTATTTAGATATATTCAAAGCGTGTGACCCAATAGGTTCTTGACATATTGGTAGTAAATATAAATCTTGTATATATATTTATAAACGATGAGCGATATCTAGCATTATGTAATAACCAAAAATAAATAAATAAATAAATTGAATGTAATTTAATGACAAGAAACTCAATGGTCATAAAACCTACAACCATTAATTATGACTTATCGTTTCATATTCCGTGAAATCGCCGATGGGGATTAGTATAAAATGGGAGTTTGTAGCTTTATGTGTAGTTTGGGGTCAAGAAGGAGAACTATTGTGAGAAAATGTGACGGTGGATGCTGTAATGAGAGTTGACGGTGCTCTACATCGTAGCTAGTTTGGCACCAATCGGGAAGACGCTAGCCACTTCAAAGATCGGTTTGCGCTACGCCATGTATTATGAGTTACACGTGATTTATTTTTAAAATGGTTGCATGCCTTATTTC